AACTAGACAAAATGTTGTGCTTGAGCATGAACCCCTCAAGAGCTTTCTCTGATCGCGACACGAGACAGGGCATCCTAGACCAAAACAAAAACCCATACCCTATCTCAGCTAGGGCTCTCTCTCCACAAGAATCTTTAAGAACCCTACGAGCGCTTTTTGCCGCAATCGCCCGGCCATATCGGCCCTCCCCTGCGCTTGGCAGATCCCAATAGCGCTTGGGCGTCGTGAGCGTGCGTCGGTGGCTTTCGGCCCTTGCCCGAAACAGCCTGGGTGAAGCTCGGATATTGTTGCACCTTTATTCGGATGCCCTGATCAGCGTCCTGATTGAACAGAAAAGATCGGGGAAGATGGTGTAGGGGGGAAACACGGTACCTACAGCGTGATCCCGCGTTTTTGGGTGTGTGCTTTCTCCTCGTTTTGCCCTTTTCTGCAATTTACCCCCTTTGCATCGAAAGCGGTGGGCTGAAGAAAATCCCCTCTCCTTGTGTGATGGCGAATTACATGGCCGAATTGTTTGGCCAGGCTTCAAGCCGTAGCCAATTACTCTCCCATCTGCAACCCTTTTTTTGGTTCTACAGCCTGCTGTACATGATCTCGTGTAAATCTGTTCTTAATGCACGGCTTGACAGCTTAATCTAGTCTCATGTGGCAAATAAACACTTTTGAATTTGTTTTTGTCTGCAAGTCAAGCTATGTCACCCTGGATTGTGCCTTGGAATCCATGCAATCACCCTTGCATATTCCCCCATTGATCTTGTCAGGGCGAGCTGACGAACCTCTCTTCAATGCAAGGTCGTATCCCATCAACCCCTTGCCAGCTGTGTCATGATTTGCCAATTGACCAGTTCGTGCAATGTTCAACTCATGGGTAGTGCATGAGTTCGTCAAAGAAAATCAAAGAAACTGAAGATAGCCGAAAACGATTCCTGCCTGTCCTTTGAGGGCTGAGGGGTAGTTTACCACAGCTCTGTACAGCCCGACTTTGTTGTGCCTTCTCATTCAACTCCTTTTTCTTCTGGCCGAGGGCAGAACCCAGAACGTCAAATTGAGACATGGTCGATGTGGGTGAATTCTGCAAAGTGAAACGAGCCTTTTTTTTTTGTTTCTCCGAGATATGAATATCCGTCTATCCGACGCGCCAATGGGTGCGTGAAGTGTTATGTCGCTTGGTTTCTTCCCCATCCTCGAAACGTATGTCGTCGATTCTTGTTCAAAACAAGAATCGAGCTGAGAGATGTGGGAAAGAAATCCTTTGTGATCTGGTACGCCGAAAAGGGTGCACAGCTGCAATGTGACGCCCTTGCACGTCTGCTGTATCCGAAAAAGAAGTCATAAATCATGGTTGGAAAACGGGCTAACGGATCGTTTGCTTGTCGGAAGGAAGGACGCGCCTGTGATGCGTCTCCTCGGAGACGACAGTGAAACAAAATTCTCTGCAGCCGTTTCCTTCACTGTCGTATACTGCAACTTGCGTCGAGCTCGTCAGAGACCTTGGGAGAAGTCTGGAAGTCGATGATCCGTAGGCTGCCAGCATGTTTCGCGGGTCAAGTATCTTACATCCACGAACCTTCCGTTCTTCGTCCCTAGTTTCTTCAGATGCGCTTCTTCCTCGAAGCCCTGGCTCGCGAGCCAGTCTTTCAGCCACACCTCATAGTCATCTTCGCGATCATCGAGTTTTGCGGCTATAGAGTAGTCCTTTCGCTTTTCTTGGTTGGGGGCATTCGTCAAGAGGGGTTTGTTTTGGGTGCCTTTGCCGTTGCGACGAGTCCAGCCATTTATTGGAACAGCAACAGCACCATCCTGTGTCTGGCCAGATCCCCGAATGCGGTCAAGCAGTTGTGGTGCAATGGGAGTGGTGAAGCTGCGCACCTGGAAGATCAACTTGTGTAGATCTCGTCCACCCCCAGCACTGTACAAATGCCTCGTCTCTGGGGCAACTCGAAATTCATAGCCGCCTTTCCTCATGTATCCGCGGTCGGTAGCGTCAAGCAGAGCATCCATCAAGCACCGTCCCACACCTGCTTTACGGTGCGTAGGCGCCACATACAACTCCAGCTCCGCTGTAATGGTTTCAACGTAATCACACGCGGACCAGTCTGTAGCGGCAGCCCAGCCGACGATAGGTTCGTCCTTCACCACCCCAATGTACTCAGGGTCAACATTCTGGATGGGATGGTTGGGGTTGACTCTCATGTTCTTGCGAGCTTTAGAGCGGGTATTCTTGCGGTTTCGTTCGACCGCAACGATGAATGGCAAGCGAGCTTGGGTTGAATGCTCCAGCCGCTGATACATGTCATCATCGCCAATCTCTGCCAGTTCCGAAGGACGAATGCCGTGAGCAATATGCAAATTGAGAATGGCCTTCATACCCGGAACGTCCGCGTTAACAGCGGGGCGCAGATAGATATTTTTATTCGTGATAGGGCCAGGCACATCTTGTTGAGCGTCCTCTCCGCTGGCCACCGCGTCATGCGCAGGCTCGACCGATATTGGCGGTATCATGGTTGCTTGTGACTCCCTCAGCTCACGTTGTAGGTATTCCATGCGTTTATCAATGAACTCTTGTGCTGTTTCGTCCTTGTAGCGGGCATTTTCGAGATCAGAGAGATCCAATTTTGCGTCGCCGTCGAAGTCCGGTGGGCAACTTGCAAGTACCGTTCCCAGCTCGGCGACTGTGAAGCCATAGCGGTCGGCATTAGTGGGGTTGATCACTGTCTCTTTTGGCGCAAATCCAATACCATCGGCGTGGTTGTCGACATTCTGTACTTCTTCCTGCGGAATGGCTGAGAAATCGACCTCTGGGCCCTGTGACATGGTCCTCATTGTATTTGCACCAAGCCAGCGGTCGAATCCACTGATATATTCAGGGGTGTTGTTGCAGAAATGAGCGCGGTGTTCCCAATCGACCGGCGGCGGCTGGAACTTCCCGTCCCACCCGACGAGTTCATCACCAGCCTCTCGAGGGTTGCGCCTGTGGATCAGTCTGCCGAAGCCGGTTGCCATAGGTTTCGTCGAGTCATTATCACTTCCTGGTTCTCCACAATTTTCATCGTTGTCCTGTTGCATAGGATTCTTCTCAACCATGTCCGGCCATCTCTTCATGTTTTCCTCCTGTACCAACTCGGGAGGATTGATGCTAGACAATCGACCCTCAACTCGAATAGATTGGCTCTGTAGGTGGTCTGCATCAAGCTCAGCAACGTGATTCGATGGGACAATGGCCGCTCTCTCTTGAAGTCCATGAGACTCTAGTGGGATGGGTTTACGGAGGTGATCCAGGGTAACGAGTGCTGTGGTGGTAACGTTCTCACCATGGTCCTTGCGTTTAATGCGTTGAAATGCCTCGCGGGATCCTGCTGCTTGAAGGCGAGCAATGACCTGCTCCGGGGTCTCGCTCCCCTGCTTGAGTGTTTCGAAGGTCTGAGGACGAGGAAGTGACACAGCTTTCTTTGCGGGATTCATCTGACTTATCGCAGGAACATTATGAGTTCTGTGCTCGTGCATCTTCTCGCCCATCATTCTGTCCTGAGCACGCGATACATTTGTCGAGTCTATGGCAGGGGACTGAGCCAAAATTAAAGCGGTGGTGACGTGAGGTGGCGAAGCTTGGGGACCTTCAGACTGCGATTCAGACACGGAGGTCAACTTTGGGTGAACCTCTGACACAATTGAAATCTCTGGGTTGACCTGAGCGGTAGAGTTCAGGCCTGATTCACAGTTTCTTTTTTGTGTCGCGTTAGTTGACAGTCCGTGGCCTGTTCTGCTCGGATGCCCATAGGCCTTCTTGTCAAACCCAGGGATGTCAACGACCACTGGCACCGAACGAGGCATATTGACATTCGGAATGGGCTTTGATTCGCTCGGTCCACACAATGGCACATTTCCTGTTTGCGGTGTTCCATCGCTTGTCTGCACATTTGAAGACATCCCCGTATCCTTCGTTCCTGACTGTGTGGTCTCTTCTCCGCTACGAATCACCACTCCATTCTGTGTGGACTGCCGTGACATGCGTGACGATTGCTGACTGATGTTCCTCATAAGCAGAGGATACCAACCTGGATCGCAGTCCAGCTCAGGTCGATCTTGACTCTCGTCACTGAATCGTCTTTTGGCGGTAGGACAACCATATTTCTCCGGGTGAAAGCCCATGGTGCTGCTTGGGCAGAGCTGGCAGGGAATAAACAACTACTGCAATTGTCAAACGGACAAATCGTGAGATGAGACAATGAGTAGATTGGGGTTTAAATGGGCCATGGGGTCTTACCTTTTCCGAGTGGTGTTGAACATGTGCTCCTAACTGTGAACTGTCACTGGCATGTGTGATCTGTCCTGCTGAAGGATGTGAAAGATTGAAGCAGAAGTGAAGCGTTGGTGACAAAGGAGTGTTACTGGCTGATTTATCAAGACCGCGGGCAGATATTGCAACGCCTTCGTGACTTGAAACCGCAGAGTCCGACACATCATGTGGATGTACGGCAGATGAACACTTAGACTGCCCTTCACCACACGTCCAGGGCGGAAGAGGACTAGCCGAGGACGAGTGACTCTCAGCCATGGCTGGGAAACAGGCGACGGCCGCTCAAGGTGACAAGGACGGACCAACATTATGTCACTCAAGAGAAGGCCTAACAATCACAACAACATGGCATTTTGAGGGGTTGCCGCTTGACCGCTTCATGGTGCCTTCTTTTGAAGGTTGTCACTACTTGAACCAATAGACAGTCGCTCTCCTGAATCTGTAGTCGCCTAGTCCTTGTAAAGCGGCGGGATATCTCCACACAGACACAGAGGAACTGCAGCAACGGGCTGTCACAAGAGGACTTGCAACAGGACCATGTCCAATCACCAGCGTTTAGCTGACTGCAAGGCGTCTACACCCCTGATTGATTTCACGCCCAATGAGGTTTGCGGCCGACAGACACCCACATTGTCGCATGGAAATCAAATAAAGCGCAGTCCAACAACCAGTGGCGACGACTGGGCGCAGGAAATTGATCGCCATGCTCTCCATACTGCGCAAAGCTCGGCTGAAGGACAAAGAGATGCGTATCCTGATGCTGTACAGGGATCTTCCTCAAAGCATGGCATCCAACAGTCTAACTCGTGCTCTAGGGGACTCGACAACGCCGGAAAGACCACCATAGTCAAGAAGATCATGAATGAAGACGTCAACACTGTCAGTCCGACGCTAGGATTCATCATCAAGACTATCGACTTCCAGGGGTACTGCTAGCTCCACAAGTTTGCGCAGCGGAGACACTAATGGACGTCCATGCAGTTACAAGCTCAATATCTGGGATGTCGGAGGCCAGAAGACTATACGATCATACTGGAGAAACTATTTTGAGAAGACTGACGCACTCATCTGGGTCGTGGACGCGACAGATCGGCTACGGATGGATGATTGCAAGGACGAGCTTAAAGGTCTGCTGCTCGAAGAGGTATGCCAGCCCTCGCCATGAGATTACACTCATTAACAAGGACAAGCGGCTAGCTGGAGCAAGTCTGTTGGTCTTCCTGAACAAGACCGATGTTGCAGGTGGGATGACCAAGGAGGAAGTCACGCAGCTTCTCGACCTTCCACGGATATTGACTCATCGGTGGGTGGTTATTCCTTGCAGTGCGATGACCGGTGAGAATCTGGAGAAGGGCTTAGACTGGGTGGTGCAAGATGCTCGGGATCGGCTGTTCCTGTACTGACACACCCCGCCGAGTATTGGATAACGGCTGGCTATGGTTAGAACAAATCTGGAATCATGAGCGAAGCCGCCGTTGAGCTATGGAGATATTTTTGAGCCATCCACGCGTGTCCGACGGAAACAGGCAAAGCAAAAGCCACATGGAACCTAGCTGCGGGTCAGGAGAAAAAGCACAGACCGTAAATTGGTCTTTTGCCGGCCAGCCCAAAGAGGCCAACCACGACAGGGCGCAGGATCAGCCCTACTTGGTGCTTCCTAGACCCTTTTCCATTCCCACATCTTAAGATCTCCAGTTCATCGTCGGCCCATCAAGCTACAACGACATCCGAGTAAGAGACAAGGAACAAGAGTCCGAAGGTCACCGGAGAAAAAGAGGGGGAAAAGATAAACAAATAATCCACGAACGGTTGGGTGGGTTTTGGATTTGGCTGCGGAGACGTGTTGGGCGCGTGTTCCCGAAGTCCCGCTCCTCTTTGCCTCTCGCAACCACGCATCAAACATCAACAATTGATACAATCCACCATTATCCTGTGCGGCCTGTACCACTACTTCCCCCCCATCCCTTGCCGGTCGCTTGCTTAAACCACCGTTCTTTTCTGCCTTCACTCGCTTATCTTTCACACGTTCTAGCTGGCGGCCACTCGTTCCTAGCCGAATATTCTCAATGCAGCGTGCGACATAATCTTCACCTTTAGAACTGCCGGACACCCACTCAAACCCCGATCGCTTGCCGAACAGTCAAAATGGACGCGTCCAATGATGGCTCCGAGTCCGTCGACCAGTTCCTTGCACGGATTGCGAGTCTAAGCTCAAAGCAGGGGCAGGAGGAGGCTGAGCGATCAAAGAGGATGGAGGAGGAAATGTTGCAGGCGAGAAAAGAGAGACAGGCGAGAAGAGCAGGTATTAATTAGTCGAGTTTCACACCACAAGATACAAATGGGAGGCTGATCACATACAGAACGCGCTCGGTCTTTGTCTCCCTCGAAAACCGGCCCTACACCATCTTCACGTCTGGTCGGGGACAGTCCTCGAAAACCCACACAAGGGATTGACCCTCCTGTAGCCCTCACCCCTCCTCCGCTCCAATCCCGTACACTTGGCCGCGCCGACTCGATGTCTCCAAGGCCTGAGCGAGTTGCAGCCACCGCCTTGGACTTCACTCGACCACTCCCACCTCCACCAACAAGCGACAAACCCTCCACGCCCAGCTCGACTATGAATGCCACTGCACTCTCTAGGAGCGGAACATTATCGTGGCAACAGCGACCTTCGTCTAGGGGAGTGGGTTCAAGATCACGGCCGCTCTCTGTCGCCTCCATACCCGACTCAGCCCTGCCTCAGAATCCCGGTCAGCCAAAGGATACCGATGACGTGTCGCGGAAAGATATTGCAGCTTCATTAGGAGCGAAAGACCCGTCTTGGTTCCGACAGACTGCTGATCGTGGTGTTGGTTCAGCTGCATATCGCAAGAATGAGGCAGATTTAGAGACAGCACCGTCATTTACGGGTCGGGGTATGAGACTCCCAGGCATGTCAAAAGACTCCAATGCTTCCGTGGACCGCTCGAGGGAAGATCCCGAGAAGGCAACTCGCCCACCGTCCCCTCCAAAATCGTCTTTTGCTCAGCCCCTCGACCAGGAACAGTTGTCAAAGCAGGAAGAGCCAAGATCAGTGAGGCCGCTCTCCATGGTATCTTTGTCACCATCGAAACCTCCTGCTTTGGATCTTCCAAGTTTCAAGCCCTTGGACCTCAATACCTCGCTCACAGCGGACACACCTGGCCTGGGAAGAACATCGAGCATTTTGTCAACCGCTGGGCGTCCTCCTTCACCCACCAAGGGTTTGGGCGGTTTCGTTGAGAGTGCTATGATGAAGAGATCAGATAGCGTGAGCAAGCGATGGAGTGTACAGGCGAATGCAGGCTTGAAGCGAGGCGATTCTGTTGCCACATCTCGCCCACCCCATGTTTCTAGTGCGTCAGGCTTCAGTCCCGGACACAGCCGTGGTCCCTCGAGAGATGTTAGAGGTGTGCGAGATGGCAATTCGTCCCCGCTGTCAAGCTCAAGGCCTGTTTCGAGTCATGGCACTGAACCAATTCCGCTAAGCAAGGCTCGTCCACTGAGCCGCGCAGAAGACGATACCTTAGCAAATTCAGAACCCGCCATTACGCAGAACAGTCAAGCCGGCCGTGAAACCTCCAAAGCGCAGCATCAGAACCGCCCAACCACGCCACCACCACCGCTTGAGACGCTCTTGTCTCGCAGTCCGTCCAAAACCATGGATCCTCGCCGCTGGAGTCCCACCAAGGCCAGTTGGCTGGAGAGTGCGCTCAACAAGCCGGACTCGCCAAAATTTACTCCAGCTAAATCTGAGACACCTGCTTGGAAGCTCAATATGCAGCGTGCTAAGCAAGAGCAGCAGCAGCGGTCATCCGAAGCTGTGGGTAATGTGCAGGCGAAGCCCACTGTAGGGCCTAAGCCTCTCATTTCGCCTTCTCTCAAGGACTCGGCCATTATAAGTGAGCCTGAACCTCAGAAAGGCTTATCATCGGTGGCGGCGGATGAGGTAAACTCGGCCAAAGGCGTTGAAGCAGAGTCGTCACAACCTCGGGACATACCTGCGTCGGATACGGAGCAACCCAGGAGTGGAAAAAGGGAAGAGAAACCTGCTGTTCCTTCTAAGAGGAATGTCACGCCAATCTTACACGGAACAACTTTGGACAATAAGCCCGAGGCTGCAACGGTAGCATCAAACGAAGACAGGGAAGTTTCGGTTGAGGCATTGCAGGCAAACGCCTCTCCCGATCCTAAACCGCCGATGCTGAAGCCTAAACCACAGACTCCTCCAAAAACCGATTTCAGAGCCACTTTAAAGTCGCGTCAAGCAGCGCCAGCGAGCAATAGCGACGCAGAACCCGAATTCAGGGCCGTCTTCGGAAAACTGAAGAGGACGCAAACCCAGAATTACGTTGCCCCGGATCTCTTGAAAGACAACATCACCAGAGGCAAGGCAGGATTAAATACCACGGGTGGACCACAGAAGACTAAGCGGGTTGATGAATTCAAAGAAAGCATTCTGCAGAAGAAGGAGGCCATGAAGACTGGGGGTAGTGTGATCGGAAAACGTCCAGACGCACCCAGTCCACTTGAAAAGCCTGCTCAGGCTGTTCCCGAGGCGCTGGCAAGACGCATGACATTGCACAAAACTGGCCCGTCGAGTGAGAAGATCGAAGTCAAGAAAGCTGTCGATTTGCCTATCAAGCCTGCGGTCTCAGCGTTGAAACCCCAGAGTTATTCCTCTAAGCCAGTCCCTGACAAGCAGGATGACTCGACGCTCACCCAACAAGCACCGATCTCGGTACAGAAGGCGCCTGCGATTAAACCCGAGAAGACTGAATCCGTCTCGACGACTATTCTGCCAACCAAAGGAGCGCCTCAAACCACCAGCGGCAATAACCGGCCAAAAACAGACACATCTTTGGTTGCAGCCCCTCCTGCGACAGAGTCGGCGTTCAAGATGAGAGCACCCGAAAACAGCAAACTTGCAGCTCGTCTCAATCCTGCACTTGCTGGCGTCTTATCCCGAAGTGGTAGCCCTAAACCCTTGGGTGAACCGTCATCCAATGGCGGAGGCGCGATACAAGTCCGAGATACTCTGTCGTCCCGGGAGAATGCGAATGACCAAAATTCAGAGCTAACCCATATGACCAAGGCTCGGGCTAAGGGTCCGAAGAGGAGAGCGCCAAAGAGCGGACCATCGTCAAAGGAGACCGTAGCAAGTACTATTGAGAAGCCCATGTCGAAATTTGGCACTGGTACAGCCAACATTTCTGACAACAAAACTTCTGTTCCTTCGCGGCTGTTCGAATCGAGGCCGACCTCCGGCAAACTCATACCGGAAGTTGAGGAGAATAAGCCAAGTGTCTCTGTCGAGGAGTCAGCATCGCAGCCAAAGTTGGAAATTGGAAAGCGCAGAGCAGCGGAAAATGTTGTCAGGGAGTCGAGTACCGCCAAGCCGAGGGCTATATTAGAGTCAGACTCCAATCCAAAATCCAAACCAGCTGTGGCCAGCAAGTCGGCGGAGCTGAGAAAAGTATCCAACCCTGGGATGGTCACCCATGTTCCGGACGAACCTGCTCCCGCCGAGGCCGATAAATCTGCGGAGTTGAAAAAGGCTTCAAACCCTGCATTGCCACCAAAACGTGCCAATCAGCCGCCTCAAGCAAAGCCTTCTACGCCGAAGAAATTCGAAGTATTGGCCGATCGTGCACAAGTTGTATCGCCTCCTCCCCAATTCGAGAATCTAAGGAAGAGCGCACCTCTTTCGCCTCCACTCGCAGTCAACTCACCTCTCACACCTAATAAATTCAAGATCAACACGCCCAAGGAACCAAAGCTGGAAGTGGATAATTCTGTCAAGCCGTCCTCACTGGCTTCTTCTAGAGCTACCGGGCTTGGATTACAGTTCTCGTCTGCTTCCAAAAAGCCAGCGGCCACGCCCGAGTTGACGCCACCACCAGAACCGGAAGCTTCAACGAGAAAATTGGCGTCCTTCAGAGGTCCTGCGTCACCCACGAAGTCTGGTCGCTTGCTGAGGCCCCAATTTGAACGCTTTTTTGGTGTCTTACCGCAAGCCAGAGAAAAGGCGGAATTTGACACCCAGGCATTCTTGTCGTCTCAGAAGAATACCTCGGGCAAGCCCAAGACTCTCGGCAAACAGATATGGGAAGTGTCCGGCGACGGAAAGAGAACAGCCATGCCTCCCCAACAAGAACACATACTCTTCGAAGACTGTATGTATCTGTGTGTGCATTCAATGGAATCATCTGGCGGCTCAAAATGTGCCGAAGTATATCTCTGGTGTGGTGACGAGGTGCCCGAAGCTGCGGTAGAGGATGCTCAACTGTTCTGCAGAAAGATTGCTCGCGATAACAACGCCAAGCTTGAGGTAGTAAAGCAAGGTAAAGAGAGTTCCGAGTTCTTCCAAGCGCTTGGAGGGATTGTCATAGTTCGGAAGAGTAAGTCAGCAGCCTTGTATATGCTGTGTGGCAGACGACACCTTGGTCATGTGGCTTTTGACGAGGTCGAGCTATCTGCCGATAACCTCTCTTCTGGACTCCCCTTTTTGATATCTGCGAAGTTTGGGAAGCTCTATCTCTGGAAGGGAAATGACAGCAACCCAGAAGATGTGGGATGTGCGAGATTGATTGGGATGGACATGGGGCTCACCGGTGAGATTGAAGAAGTCTCAGAAGGAGAAGAGCCCGCCAGCTTCTGGGAAGCCTTCCCCTCGCGTCCGAGCAAGCGAGTGGCTCCTCGAACACGCAAACAGACGAGCCAATTCCACGGTCATGCACCCAAATTATACCGTGTCGAGCACGATCGCCCCAAATCGTCTGGCGGTTTCTGGGGCTTGAGGGCGGCATCGCCCCCGAAACAAGCGGTCAGAGCCTTGGTGGACGAGATTGCCCCCTTCACTCAGAAAGACCTCGATGCCAACCATATCCACATTCTGGACACCTATGGGGAGCTCTACGTGTAAGTTCAGCTGTACTTTTGCGCCGGATTGAAAGTCATGCTGACGTCTATTGTGTTTGTTAGCCTCGTCGGTGCGTCTGCCAAAAAACCTGCCGAGTTTGTGACGGCGGTACAGGTCGCTCAGGAGATTGCAGTTCTATCTCCCTCGGTTCAGGACAGACCGCTGTTGCCTGCATGTTACGTGGTGATGGGTGATCCTCCTGAAAACATCAAATCAGTCTTCCGAAAATGGAGGTCTGAAAGATCAGCTTCTCCAGACGACCAACTGTGTGTACGGGTTGAAGAAGTGATACAGGAATTAGGGATCACGCTGTGAAAGGGATGACGGTGGACTGATGATTGGGATTTGTGCAGGGATTTTGCAGACGATCACTCGGACGAATATGGTTTGGGCTCATGGGCGTGCATGTGTATTTGGCCATTTGGACGATGGAGGGGTTTCGGCAAACCTTGGCCAAGGTGTCACAAAAAGAAGGAGGGGTGGGCCAGTTTCCATCTGGAAGAATATGTGCTTTGATACACCAATTTAGGGATATTGAACTGCCCGTATGAGTGTATGAGTCGTATCAGTTGTATAACTGAAGCCATTGTCGTCAATTGTCAGCCAATCGGAGCGTGCTTAGGTAACCGCGCTCGTCATCAGCACCATCGGGGTCTGGATCATTCCGAGGCTCCTTGGCACCATTTCTTTCCTTCTGCCCGCCTCCGTCAAACCGACCTCGGATGCAGGCATCAGTCAGTACCTGGTCAGCTTGTCCCTGACTGCTCAGAAGTCTTCGTGTCGCCTTGTGCTGACAGTCATGGATTGGGCGGCTTCGAATCTCCCTCAGACGAAACCCAACACCTCTGTCCTCTCTCAGGGTCCCACCGCCACTCTGAACCTGGACCCCAAACTGCAGCGCGAGTTGTCTCGGCTCGATGACTCGATCCCCTTCAACCCCAGAGCTCGTTATCTCCATCACACCTGGGCGCAGACGTTCTTCTCGCGCCCGGAGCTGTATTTTCAGCCCGCGACAATCCCCGAGCTGCAAAAAGTCGTCACTTTAGCGCGACGATGTCGAAGACGGGTTTGCGTGACGGGGTTCGGACACTCGCCGTCCGACCTGACATGCACCTCGTCTTGGCTGGTCAACCTCGACAAGCTCAATCAAGTCTTGGAGAAGGACGTCGACGGGACTCCTGGCCTCTATCGCATCCAGGCCGGCATATCCCTGCATGATCTGAACGTGGAGTTGGCCAAGCACGGTTATACCCTGCCCAATTTGGGATCCATCGACGTCCAGTCGGTCGCGGGGGTCATCTCGACCGGCACGCACGGCTCGAGTCTCAAGCACGGCCTGATCTCCGAGTCGATAACTTCGCTGACGATCCTTCTCTCCAATTCGCAGTTCGTCACGTGTTCGGCCGCCAAAAACCCTGAACTCTTCCGAGCCGGCCTCCTCTCGCTGGGCGCGCTGGGCATCATCGTCGAGATCACGATCCAGGCCGTGCCGGACTTCAAAATCTCCTGGTCCCAGTCCCTCCACACCCTGAGCTCCGTTCTGGACTCGTGGAACTCTGACCTCTGGACCAAGGACGAATTCACCCGGGTGTGGTGGCTACCTTACCTCCAACGCGCCGTGATCTGGCGCGGCTCGCGGACTGACGCCCCGACTCGTCCTCCAAACACCACTTTCTATGGAGGTATGTTCGGCTACTATGTCTACCACAATCTGCTCTGGTTGTCCAACACCTTCCCGCGTATCTTGCCGTGGATCGAATGGTTCGTCTTCGGCATGCAATACGGCTTCAAGCCGGGCAACTTCGTCATGTCTGCGGTGCAGCCCGCCCGCGAGGGCCTGCTCATGGACTGTCTCTACTCTCAATTCGTGAACGAGTGGGCCTTGCCACTGGACAAGGGCCCCGAGGCGATCACGCGGCTCGCGGCGTGGATCAACCACGACGACGCCACCGCGCGCATCCCGGTCTCCAGCAAGGGAGTCTGGGTGCATTGTCCCGTCGAGGTGCGCGTCACGCACACGGGCCAGGAGACGCCCAACCGTTCCGGGGTGCGCGCGTACCTCGACCCCACCGTCCCCGACGGACCGACGCTATACCTGAATGCCACGTTATACCGGCCCTACGGCCGCGACCCGCCCTGCCACGCCACGTACTACGAAGCCTTTGAGTATCTCATGAAAGAGCTCGGCGGGAAGCCGCACTGGGCCAAGAACTTCTCCGACACGGCCGGCGAGTACATCGACGCGGCGTACGGCAGCGACATGCGTGCGTTCATGCAGGTCCGCGACGACAGCGACCCCGAGGGCATGTTCTTGGGGGAGTGGCACCAGAGGTATCTGCCCCTGAAGACGAAGACGGGTACGACGACGACAACAACCCCAACTGGATCGCACGGGACGGCACACTCTGGATTGAGGCTGGTGGAGTCAGAAGTCCGCCGGACCAAGAAGGGCCTCGGCTGGGGCTTTGGCGACGGCATCCTGTGGGAAGGGAGACAGCGAGCCGCTGCAGGCGATGGCGATGACGATGACGATGGTGACGCCGCTTACGGTCGCGCGGGCCAAGAACTGCGCGCGACTCATCTAGGAGATGACAGGAAAGCCGGAGCCGGAGGACACGGAAATGGTGACGAGACGCCCAGTCCGCCAGCCACCACGACCAGCGAGGAGTCGTTCGATTACATGGCCAAAGGCGAGGCGAGCGTCTATGCCGTCAAGGAAGGGGAGGGGGAAGGAGGTGACTAGATGGGATAGGATGGGATGGGATGGGCCGAGACGGGACGGGGGATGTTGGATGCCGGTGATGATGATTGATGATGCCGGGATGAACAGCCAGCCCACTTTGTCGTTGCACAAAAGGGGATACATTGGTGGTGGTGGTGGTGGTGGTGGTGGTGAGATGGAGCACCGGAGATCGAGGTAGTCAACTCGTGCGTGATTCTTTTGGTTTTTTTTAAGGTCATTTCTACTGCTTCATCCCTCCAAAACACAGACATATCTATTTCGATATCTATATATATTGTACGAGGATCCTGTCCACGTCGGCGCCACACACAAACACAAAGATCTAGTCCGGCTGTACAAACCCTCTTTTCCCGGATCGAAAACCGGCCTGACTATCATAGGTCTACGCTGCCCCGAGGTGTAAGGGGCATAGCCTCAAGCGAATTACACAGTCTGCTTCTTCTGTGTCTGTGTAGATTTCCAAATCAACACCAATTGCGCGGCGACGTCGTCCAAAAGCTCGGTGCTGGCCCAGCCCATGACCCCCGCCAATGCTCTAAAGAACTCCCTGGTCGTGGACCGGATCGTCGCGTGACAAACGCTCAGGACGTGCAAGTTGTAGAAGCAGGCGTTTTCCAGCGACGTGGTATAATGTAGCCAGAGCAGGAGGATGGGGCCTTCATGGGTGATGGAGGAGGCGAGAGGGTCCTTCTTGCCTTGGTCGGTTCCTGGCGAGCGACGTGCCGTGAGCTCGGCGAGCCGGCCCTGCATGACGAGCATGCAGCTTCCGGACCCAGCGGCCTGGTTCTCTGCCTCGTACATGCTCTTGCCAGTCGCGTACGACTTCCCTTCCACGACCATGGATGGAAAGCGTATATGGAGTGCGGGAAGGGTGGGACTGGACAAAAGCTCCTGTTCGTACTGCAGGTCCTTCAATATCTCCTCAGCGTCCAGCTTGTTGGCGCCCAACGACACCAATTTCTTGGCGACGACGGCGTGGAGAAATCCTATCGTAATGTCCGGGCGAGCGTTCTTGACACAGTTATTGTCAAGCATTGGCGGAGGTGACGGCGGTGGCGGCATGGTTATCTCGGCACTCCCTGGCGAAACGTAAGACGTCTCTGCCTGCCGCCGCTTGTTCGGGCGGTCATCGGAAAAGCCCATGTCGTTGAGAGACTTGTGCGGAGCACCGGAGCGGTAGGATTTTCGTTGAACCATAGGTTTCAGGGCAGGGGTCCCACTCTAAGCTCAAGTTAGCAGAACGATAGTGCTGGTACGCAAAGTCTACAGGACCTGCTTTCCTTCGAAAGGCAAAAGCTTTGCCGAACAGCTGGCGATTCATTGCTTCCAGTGCCTGATATATCAATTCGGCGCAATCATCTTCTCCACTCGCGACCTCCAGGACGTCAGGAAAGTCATTGCACAGGTCATCTGCAATCGCGAAAACGAGTTTCTCCCTTTCTTTATCGAGCTTAGGCTGGACGATGGCGTTGACTCTGTGCTCGAGGTGTTCTGGAATACATCGGTGCTGAAAGACTATTCTAGCACGGTCCAGTGAATTCAGGCGGTAATTGCAAAGCGAGAGAGATGTTTTCTGCGAGGACACGGACGCTGTATCCTGGTTCATCTCTGCCGTGCTCGATCGTCGCGAGACTGTTTCCTTTTCTTCTGCCATCCACTCACATATCTCCGATGCTGTCTCGCTATTGAGCTTTTCCAGATTCTCCCAATTGAGAAGGTCCTTGGATGGAGGCAACTCCGCCACCCCTTGCGAACAATCCTGCGGTCGCTTGTCCAGTTTCTCGTCTTTGCATTCGCGTTTCCGTTTTCCTCGTGTGGGTTGCAGAGGCTCCAGGGGGCTTCCAGTCGCTGTCGAATCTGGATGTATAGACCGGAGTGGAAGCGACTCAACGCTTGGGGGCTTAGGTGAGGGCATCGATTGCGGTGGAAGGTCGGGTGGCCCTTCTGGACAGAGAGGGATCGAAAATTGGTCCATCAGGTGTGCGTGCTGCTCATATCAGGGAGGCCTTGCTGGGAGGCGGCGACCCTTCTGCTCCTCTTGGCGCCTGCGGATTGTCTGGTTTCTTTGAAATGTTATCAATGGCGGCTACCTGAGGAGGTCAAGAGGAGATGGGGAAACGTACGTGCTGCAGATCTATGCGCACCGCCAATTGTGCGCTTCGGAGGCATGTTGACTCGAGGAAGAAAAGTCGAGACATGAGACAGGGAGAGATTATATTGGCGCCTGTGCGAGCGTAAGAGCAACGAACAGCAGTTTGGGGATTTGAGAGGGCGCGAGGAAATGTTTCAGACACGGCAAAGCGTTTCGCGGGGTAATAATAAACAATAATTATTGACTTGGGTCGATTCGAGAAACCTAATCTGGTAATTAACGTGGTAACCTTAATCATTCTTTGTGAAACTGCAATCATCAGAAAGCAGTAATCAATGGATGAAGCACGGTTCGGGGCATATATAATGGTTCGTCATTCATTCTAAATTGACAGCAATTGCTTTGGCTCCCATGCACCACTGCTACCATTGTCTTAGAAACCACAACAGATCCTCAACAAATTGCTGCCAGCGTCAATCCAAGTTATATGGTTCATGTATGTTTATGAAGATCGCCATCACTCTCCTTCTCTTTCGCTAACACTTCGCAGGGACCATCTCCGCTGCCCCGCGGCGGTACCTTACCCATTCTTGCCTTGACGACTCACACCGTCTTGATCTCTTCTCGCGTGACACTCGCGCGTCTCTCCGCCTCCTCGTGTTCATGCATCTCGCGTCGCTGCTCGCTAATATCCCTGACAATGCCGCGGTCGAGGGTGTACAGCGGCTTCAGCTCGGCCGACTTCTGCCAGAAGATGTAGCGCTTGATGAACCACGGAAGCCAGGTACCGGTCTGGTATGACATGAACCTGCGGGTCGGGACTGCGAAGATGTAGTCTAGTTCTTCGAGTGTACGTTGCTGCGGGGGAAAAGTTACTGATGTTAGCCAGACGCACAGATTGAGGTGAACGGTGATATTGCCGGAGCTTACCTTGGTTTCAGGAACCCAGAAGAAGATCATGATCAGGGCCAAGATGTTCAGGCCGGCAAAGAAGCCAAAGGCACCTGTCGGAGTGAATGCTGCGAGAATCTTGGGAAAGGTCAAGCCCAGTACTGCGGCCCAGAAGAGGCACGTCGCAACCGCCCAGCCCATGCCAACCTCGCGGTGAGACAGCGGGAAGACCTCGGCCGAGTACGTGAATGGTACAGGACCTTCACCCGGCGAGTAGAAGGCGGCGAAAAGGTACACAAACAGTGCAATGACACCCAAGTGGGCACTGCTCGATTTGGGAATGTAGAATGCAAACCCCCCGGCGAGGAGTGTCCAGGCCATGTTCGGGAACGTGAACAGCAACAAGGCACGTCGACCGAACGTGTCAATCGTGAGGAAAGCGGGAATGGCAAAGAGGAAATTGACGGCGCCGAAGCCAAAGGAACCCAGTAGCGCCTCGAAGTCGGACGCTCCACCCTCCCGAAAGATGGTCGACGAGTAAAAGGCCATGATGTTGATGCCACACATCTGTTGTGCGATCATGACTGTGAAGGAAGCCAGAGTGGCGCGACGGACGCGAGGCATGGTAAACAGCTGCATAAATCGTGAGATATAGGTAGAATCGCCCACGATGTCGTGTTCGATATCGATCTGAGTACTGATATAGTACAAGTCCCTAGCGGCGAGGAGAGGATGGTTTCTGAGTTTGAGGAGAGATTGATATGCTTTGGCTATTTTGTCGTGCTTGATATACCATCTCGGGCTCTCACTGTTTTGAAGCAAAGCGTTAGATTGGTGTCATCAAGGTGCAGATCTCGGAGGCTTCAACTGGTGACATGGTGCAAAAGAGATCCAACGAAAACAGTAACACAGCTGTGAGGCATAGACTTACGGGCAGAGAAAGACCAAAATAGCCAGGGGAATGGCAGGTATAAAGGCGGAACCGAGCTGAAGACGCCAGCCAATGTCACCAGCTTTCCACACAGCTAGGTTGAAGGCAGTCCCTAGGAAAATCCCGAAAGCCGTCCAAAATTGCCATGTCATAACAAGGGCACTGCGATAAGAACGTCAGCCATGTGTGATGCGAGCATAAGGGATTCTCGTGACGGCGTCAATCTCGGGACGCCAATACTCACCCTCGAATTGCGGCAGGGGAGTTCTCGGCAGCGAACACGGGTGTAGTGGCGCCCTTCAAACCCATACCGATGCCCATGAGGACACGTGTGGCAAGCAACTGTTCCCACGTCTGGCAGAACGCTCCACCAATGGGCGTTGCAATCAGAAAGATGGCCGATGTGAAGATGGTACCTCGACGACCAAAGTAATAGTTACAGGGATCAGAGAGCCAGCAGCCCAGGAAAGCGCTGCCGATGTAGGGCGCCGAATTGACAAGTCCAATGATCCAGAAATCTCTTTCGTAGCCCGGCTGTCCTTCTGGTGTATCCAGACCAAAGGCTTCCGGGAACGACAAATTGGCACCGTTGGTTCCGGTCTGATCCCAGCCTTGGACTGCGGCACCGATGGAACAGACTATGACGGTCATGTATAGCTTCATTGGATGTTTCCATTTGCGTGAAACCTCTATGCGGAGGGCATCCTTCTCATCCTCAGTGAGGAAGGAGAGACTCTCAAATTGGCCTGGGTTCTGGGCGACCAAAGCACCTTTCTTTATCAGCTCGACCTCGGAGGTCATGCCGGCACGGTTTGCAAATTCTTCAACCTGTAGACTACCGCGTCAGTTTGCGGCTGGTACAGAGTATTGGAGGTTCCTCACATTGGCCAACAACTCTTCTTGGGGAATATCAGCAAGAGGGTTGGAGATCCTGTTGAATGTTTAGCCAAAAGATCCAAGAACCAAGGCGAGCGCGGCGTACTTTGCGTCCAAGTTCTTGTTCCTGTTCAAATCCGCGATGGACGAGCGCCGGCGCTCCGGACCTGAAGACTTCTCATGGTCCGTACTGCGCCTGTTGTCGAAGCTGTCTGTAGCCTTGGTGTCGGACATGTTCATGAGTTACCGGCCAGCCAATGTGAAGGAAAGTAACTGAGAAATTCGACGGGGCTAGAGATTTTCATAAAGGGGGGACACTGGGTCCCAGCCTTTTCATATACGTCGACCGTCTATCATTCCGCAAAAACCCCGCGCGCTGATCAAGTTCGGAGAAACGCACAATGGAGTGCGGGTGACATCGTCTCAAACATCGCAGAGAGTTTTGCGTTTCAAGAACCCCGGAAGATGGCGTGCGATAGGCCCAGTTCAATCGACGTGATGGTGCTTCTGGAAGGCAGAATCTCTGGTGGAAGCCTTGTGGACCGCCCTCCCCACTTGTAACCAAAGCCCTTGGCAGCGGAGAAAACTCCACCTCATCAAGAACAAGAACTGCGGGCTGAATTTGGCAGATGTCATTTGGCATTGCCCAGAGGCGAGTCTCAATAACCTTACAGTGCTTGGTGCCCCAGACAGAAGCAAGCATATTCTTGGGTTCTGGGGTAGAGATATCGTTTAGAGAGCTGAGGGTGAGTGCGGCCTTTGGAAGCGAATATTGAATGGAAACCCGCTGCTAGAGATGATTTAACACCAGAGAATCTCGAGTCGCTTGAAGGAGGAGATGAAGCAGTGACTCTGAAAAGGCCTGGCAGTCACTGTCAAAGTTGGACCAACACTGAGCATGGGAGGTTGAACAGCGGTGGAGGAAAGGAAGTCGCCCAGGTGGGTAAGAATGTAACAGCGGGAACGCCTTGCCAAGATGCCGGGTGGATGCCAAGGGCGGAGATCATCTTGGTTTGCTCGGCGGAATCTGCACTGTGCATCCCACGGGTTATTGAACCGATGGCCCTCAGCCTGTGAAGACTGATCAGCCTTCTTTACTCAAAAGACTACGTCACCCTTCCCCAGAGGGACAAGAACAAGACGTATCATCGTGCGAAAAATTGTCCTACATCTTCAACCCTCTTACCTCCTTTTGGCAGCCCTTGTGATCACCAACCCACACTGCCCACATTAGAATATCCCTGCACATCACTCCGGGTTTCATCAGCCTGTCCGCATTTCTTGGCCCCTCTGAGATCTCGAATTTCTGTCAAGGCAATGCCGCTTCCGTTCCAGATGACTTCCCGGCAAATAGGAGAGAATCTACCAGACATGGACGGGAGAGGTCAGACAAGATAACTTACCCCATATGCGACGACAGTAAAACATCCAGGATGACTCTCTATAGAGCCCCTTGGGGGAGTGCACTGTGGTAAGGCGATACCACAGTCAATCTTGAAAGTAATATTGGTTCGCTTGACGAATGACCTGGTCTTATCCCCGTCCAACTGTCTGAGTCGTTGGCATTTACCCAATGCTGCACCAAGGATGTCGGTCTTGGCTAATGCTGAGATACCATCGAAGTCATCTAAGGTATAGCTTGGTTCAGGCGTCAGCACTTGGCCGTTTGACATCTGCAAAGACACCATCGTCCTAGAACCCAAACTCGACAAGCTTTAGTGCCGGATAGAACGGCCGACCTGAGGATCCAGCCACTCAATTGAAAAGTTTCGATGTAAGTAATCCGTTGGATCCACTTCTCCGACCCCTTGTTGAATGAAGGAATTTCGATTGGGTGGGTGAAGCCCGTGTAGATGGCAGGGCGTTTGTTCGCAGTGGTTGAGCTTCTGTTTTGATCTTTTTGCTAACTCAAAGCAGCGCCAGAGAGCTCGTTACCTTCAAGATTGAGGCGGTTTTTCTCCAACTGCCTATCGCTATCTCCCACCTCTCTTGGACCTTGATCTCGATCTGGTCGAAGACGAAGCCATAGACCTTGATCCGTATTTCTGCTGGGACGGCGAGAAAAGGGGCACTGTCTCCAGATGATTCCGTGGCTTGTTAAAACGATATCACTGACGTGATGATCGGAAGTCAAAGAATTTCCGTGTGACACGGGCATCGGGACTCCGGCAATTTGAGCGCCAGATGACAAGGATCCTGAAGAGTGTAATGGTACAGGAAAGAATGCAAGAGGCGGGAAACGCTCAAAGGTAAAGACAAGAAGAACGAAGCCAGAAAGTGAGAAGATTCAAGGAGAAGAGGCGAGGCGTGATTACAAACATGACGTTCACGGTCGGTGGCGCCATCACTCGGACCTTTGAACTGTCATTGAGTGCGTTTGACGGGGAGCGAAGAGAAACTTCAGTACCTGATGAGTGCATGAACAAGAGTTGGAGAGAACCAGCAAGAGATGATTTGAGAATGGCTGAGTATAAAATCAATTGTCATCCGTCAAGTCGCCACTCCGATCACCATTACCACCAACTAACTGCCAGGCAGAACTTCATCCCTGGATCAAGCGCTTCAGAATCTGCATGAGGGGGTATCATTGAGACATAAGGGACAAAAATTGTTCGTGATTTCGTCAGCTAGTTCCGCATGACACCAAGATCCGAATGTTGCCCGATGGATCCTGTATTTCACCTTGATGACCAGCCACTTCATCTAGACGCGACTGCGCCGGTACCAGCGTCGACGTGCGTATCTGGCAAGCTTTGGTAAGCACACACTGATCCTTCTCAGATCTGGTGGTCAACCTTACGGTCCTTGAGCGACGGGGGCAGCCGCGACGGTCTTGCGCCTCTCGCGATGGACAAACCAGAGGCCAACCAAGGCGCTCAGGATCCAGAAAATCGCAGACAAGAAAGAGAAGGCCTCGGCAGCTCGATAGCGACCACAGAACCCATGAAAACTGATTTGATTCCAGTCAAAGGTGTCTCCATCACAGCCGGTCCCATTGGCCCATTCGACGAGAAGCCCAAAAGAGGCGAACCAGGCAAAGGACAGGATGATATCCATGGGCCCTGTTTCAGGGAGTCAGCATATATTCCCTTGGCACTACATTGCGGTCTTTGAAACGTACAGTGGAAGAAGCCGCCGGCGAACGGGAGCAACCAGAGTAGACCGAGGAGGAGGGAGATTCCGGCCACAATCTCAATGTAGATGAATCGCGCGAGGGGCCAACCGTTCCCGTGGCGGTAGTCATCTAGGTAGGAGCCGACGATGCCTGCAACGACCTGCGCACAAGATCAGAAACGCTAAAAAAAAGTGAGTTCGATCAGAGTTGCACTTACACCCGCGAAAGCGAGCTCACAGACACGCAGGCCCATAGATACAATTCGGGAGATGACAGGCATTTTGAAGATTGGTCGATTGGTGAGAGACTTTCCTGAAGAGAGAATAGAAAGGACGTTGCAGACGAACGGGTGCTGTCGCCAGCAAAACGAACAAGGTCGATGGGGAGAACTTTAGCTGTCAATGATCGGAGCAGAGGGTGAAGCAGTGACTTAAGAATGAAGAGCGAGGCCGTGACACTAGGGCGTTAACAAGGCGACACAGGGGATTCTCTGTTTGCCAGCCACCAACATCACCGTTCTGTCCTCACCTTGGTCTTCTAAATTCCTTGCTCAGGAGAACCCTGGCCACGCGTTGCCTTGATTTTGTGCCACGCCAACCAGTGGTGTTGTCCTACTGGACCCTGGTTGGCCATGAGAGATTGACAGGCAAGGGGCGCGTGACAAAGAAACGAGTTGCAGAAACATGGCACGACGTCATAGGGGGAATCTGGATAGGAAAACATGCTACCGAAACCAGGCAGAATGCTTGAGCCTCACCAATCCACCAACCCCATGAGGGGGAGCAGACAAGTAGAGCAGGGAATGTAGTCAAAACGCTAGCGACAACGATGGGAAAGGCTGAGAGTTTTGGAGGCAGAAACTGGTAAGCGAGAAGCTGCAGACCGGAAATCAAGTCCATCACAAGGTTCCTGTGACGTCAAGTTTAAAGTCAACCCAGACGCCAAGGCGAGGCTGACATTCTCAGCCTCGCTCACTTGCCCGCCCGTAGCGGTTCTGCATAGCCATTGTGTATCGCTGGGGAGTCCACTATCCTCTTGATCACAGAAGTGTGGCCGAGTCCACGCGAGCTGCCGTATCCCGGTTGCTGATCGACCCGATCTGAATTCCAGGATCTCAATCGCGTGAGCGAAACAAATACTTGTCTCGATCCATGCGTGCCTTGTTCAATAGCCACATCTCCTACTTGTTCACGCTAATGCCCTCGCCTTCTCATTGACCTCGTCCCCAAAGTCAAAGGACCCACCGAAAAATTGGTGCCTGGCTGTGTTCAGAATGCAGGACTTGAACATCATTGTGCGTCCCTGCGCGTCGACCCATTTTTGTCTAAAACCGCCCACTTCCATGCGTGGATACATATCATCACTCATCAACTCTGGGCTCTCTTTCACTTCATCCACAGCCTGGAGGGCCAGAGATTGTGATGTTTTCTCGGCATCGGGAGGAAGGATGGGAAGAAGGTAGTCATTGTAGGTTCTTAGTCCAAAGTCGGTCACAAAGAAGAGAGTTGGGGGGGTTTTGACGCGATCAGGAAGGCCTTCAGGCGTGAGATGCATAGCTGGGTGAGAGAGAAGAGCCCGGAGCACAGCCGCATGTTTGCATGCGTAGTCGAAGCGTTCTTTGGGTGACGGAAGCGCACTCATGTCTTAGTATCTGTGGATGCTGAACTTGGTGAAGATAAAAGAGTGTGGGGGTGACCACCGGGTCCAGTACTAGAGAGGCAAAAGGCACAGAGACGAGCAGAAGAGTGTCTGCGGCTGGCAAGAGACAATTCCCATGAATTTTGTCGGCAGCGATATCAGTGGCAAGAGTGGTGAATTAGCGGTGAGGAGAAGGTCTGTAGCCCTCAGGCTCTCCAATTCGCGCTTGCCACGCCGCGAGGACGCGTTCCTGCCGTTCCTGCATCGCTCTACCTCGTACTATGTAATAAGCCTTTACCAACCCTTGACCAACCCCACTAGGACGCCTAGGAAGCCCACAGGATCAATATGCGACAACTCAGTTTGAGTAAAATCAGACAACCACTCTTGGTCTCTCTGAGTACGGGAGACCTACAGATATCCAAGTGGTTTATAACTTTCTGCTCAACGAGAAATGCTTACGTCCGTAAGTCACCTGCAAGGACAACACCAGAACCGAGGGCTCGCTTGTCCATCCCTGGAACTCCGCCCCCATAGCATAGCTACTCGTGCATGAGACCTCCAATACTCTCGTCGAATGAGGTGCCGGGTACTGCTGGACCACAACGACTTAGCTCTGTGCGCTCGAGTCGCTCGGCTCAAAAGCCGCTCTTGATTTATCTCGTTGTTCCCAAGGGAAGAGCGTCGTCTTTACCGTCTAGTCGAACATGAGGATTCTTCAGCAGTCACAGTCGGATGTGTATCCAAATCTGATTGATCAACTTCTGAAATACTTGACCCCAGACAATGGTGAACAGTGGACATCCCAGCAAAGCATGCACCAACTGCCGGAAGAGGAAGATCAAGGTAAGAAAAGGCTTGATTCCAACTCCACCAACCCCGTCAAACAGTCAGATACGTGCATAACACTTTTGTCAGTGTGATCAAAGAAGACCGGCATGCACCCAATGCGTCAGAGCTGACTGGCCTTGCCCTGGTTATCGTCCTGATATCGACATCTTTCTTCGCGATGAAACCAAGGGTGTCACCCACAAGTATCAGGGGTGCCGATCCATCCATTCCTGCCCGTCTTTCTCAGATCGAAGCTCCAGGCAATGTTCTTCCCAATCGAACGACCGAAACCCAGACACGTTACCCTATCAGCTGGACATGGACGTCGTGACCCGAGCAGTGTCGTTCTTTTTCTCCCAGTATGTACACCAACCTCCAACACCTTGCGGGAAATTTCAACCTGGGTCATTCCAATATCTCCCGTCCCTGTATGCTCGGAGTCGACCAGATGGACCTCTGGTTCCGATCGTCCATGCGGCCGCGCTCGCCAGTTATGCCAATGCGGGCAACGTCCCCCACTGGACACTGGAAAGCTACCGATTGTGCGGGCTGGGTATCCTGAGATGTAGGCATGCACTTGGAAATCTAGCCGAGAGAAAGTCAAATGAGGTTCTTGCCAGCATCATGCTGCTAGCCGTCTATGAGGTGAGTCGCCCCCAAAGTGTGGATGATTAGACCTAATCAGTACCCCGTGAACGACAGACTATTGCCCTCAAAGGGACACGAGCCATGAAGACATGGAGTCAGCATATGCTTGGCGCAGCGGCAGTAATTGATTTCCGTGGTCCGGGTCAGTTTGACGACAGATCTAGCGTTCAGATCTTCCTGCAGATTCGACGCCTCATAGTCCTCTCCGCCTATCAACTACAGCAACCAGTGCCCTTTTCCTTGAAGAAGTGGTCAGCTTGGCTAGAATACGCCAGTATTGGTGAAGATTACGAGGTTGTTTACCTCGCCAACCGGCTTTCGGAAATAGTTGAGACGCTTGCATCTGTCCGGGCCTTTAATAAAGCACCCAAGACTCGAGGAACAGGGGACATCTCTTCTCTGCTTTTGCCAATCGACTTGATGCTTCAAAGCTGGCGGAATCAGCTCCCTACGTCCTGGCTACCCAGACCTCGTCCTGCCTGCCGTTGTGAGGGCTGTTTCTCGCGCAGTCATTTTGAAGGCATGCCTTTTGACGCCTATCCCGATCTATATGTCGCCTCACTTTGGAACAATTATCGTGGTGCGCGCATCCTGGTTCACGAAATGCTATTATCCACCGCAACTCCCACTTCCATCACGGCCATAACGGACGACAAGGAATTATGCCCAACCATCAACCTATTGCGCCAGATGAGCACTGAGATTTGCCTCAGCGTCGACTACCATCTGAGACCAATTCCGGATGACTCGTTTCCTGATTCCATTGACCACTTGAAAGGAATAGTTACAGCCTCAATCCCTGGTGGCGAACTCCTCATCTGGCCGCTCTTCATGGCTGGAATGTTGCCTACGACAAGCCCAGCACGAAGGATGTGGATATCGGATCGCCTAAGGCAGATTGGGGCCAACCTAGGCATTGGACTGGCGCTTTCAATGAGCCAGGCTATGTACAACGAGCGGGACACAACCCCATTTTCTCACAGCGAGCTGTGGGCGTATGATGATTGCCAGGCCGAAAGTGCCTGCCCTTGAACGAAGCTAATGTACAGGAATGGCCTCCCTTGAATCGTCTTGACTGATGAGGGTCTGTGTCGGATGCCTGACGCCGAAGTCGTCCTCCTGAAAACCAATGATCTAGCTTCCCACTTGGACCAATTTGAACCGAGTAGTTGACCATCTTGAGATGCGTGCAGTTACAGCGTCTCCATCTGCAGCTGTTAATTGGCTACGCCGCAAAGCTAACCCGTCCTGGACTGGACTTTCTCATTTGTCACCTTTGTTGTGTATAGCTATCGTTGTTGCTAGCGACGAGTAAGTCGAGGTGTTCAGTTGTGTCTTGCTGCACGCCAGTTGGTCTCAGGACGATGTGCTTCTCGAAATCCACTTGTCGAGTTTGATTCCGTTGTCCGTCTCCAGAGAGGAATCTCTGCTTCTTACAAATAGACGGCAGCCCTTTGACATCAACGATGTCGCCCAGCGAAAGACCACTGATTGCTATTGCTCAGTCGAGAGACACAGGCAAGCTGACAACTCAGATTCAATTGAGTTTGTCGATAATATGCTTCTCTCAGTACTTTTGGCATCCATTGTTGCCTCCAGGGGTCTTGCCCAAGGCCTCAAGTTGCCTGTCGTCGACCTTGGTTATGGACTACATCAAGCAATAGGATACAATGTGGGCCAAGATGCCCTGCACATCCGCAACACGAGACGACTGACCCATTGCAGGATACCTTGGACGTTTATAACTTCTCCAATATCCGATACGCTCGGCCTCCGACGGGTAGTCTTCGCTTCACGGCGCCCCAGCCTCCTCTAGTAAACAGAACTCTGCAGGATGGCAGCTCCGGAGGTACCTGCCCTCAAGCATACCCTGTTTGGTACCTCTGTGGGCTGGCTCTGCTCGGTGGCTCCATCAACTCCACCGATGCCTGCGATGCTAGCCTCATTCCCAAACCCGACCCTACAGAACAAGAGGACTGCCTGTTCGTCGATGTCATAGTCCCGAGAAAGATATTCGCCAATGCCAGCAAGGAGCATAATAAAGGAGCGCCGGTGATGGTTTGGGTGTACGGAGGTGGTTTTACTTTCAGTAAAAAATACGAAGACGGAAATCCTGCTGGGCTCATCCAGAGAAGTCGGGAAGAAGACGTGAGTGGCAATGGCGTTGTCTATGTCACATTCAATTACAGGGTACGCTTTCGTTCTTGTACGTTTGTTCAACGCATCTGATGCAGATTCCAGGGTGGTGCCTTTGGTTTTCTGTCCGGGCCCAACATTCAGTCCAATGGAACCGCCAATGCTGGCCTGCTTGATCAGCGCATGGCTCTCGAGTGGGTGCAACAGTACATCCACCTGTTCGGAGGCGACCCGAAGCAGGTTACTGTATTCGGACAATCAGCTGGAGCAGGTTCCATTATGCACCAGATCACAGCATATGGCGGTTTGAAAGGGCCAGCACCTTTCCAGAGGGTGATCCTACAGTCACCCGGGTTCGAGCCATTCCCCAGCCACTGGGAGCAGGACCATCTGCTGCAGAGGTATCTGGGGCTCCTCAACGTGTCGACAATTCAAGAAGCACGCGAACTTCCCTTCGCGACACTCTCTGCCGCCAATGTAGAGCTCGTCGCCACCTCACCGTACGGAACGTTTACATTTGCCCCTGCGGTCGACGGAGATTTCGTGCCGGGCCTGCCAGGCAATTTGCTGACGCAAGGGAACTACGACACATCGGTGGAGCTGTTGACGGGCTTCAACGCGCACGAAACGCTGTACTTCACCGATCCAGCCAGTACCAACAACTCCATCTTCCTGTCCAGCATCACCAGCACGTTCCCAGGCATTCAAGCCCCGGTCGCAGACTACGTTTCCCAGACCCTCTACCCTCCTGTCTTCAACGGGAGCTATCCCTACAGCTCGTTCTACGAGCGTGCCGAGCTCACGCTGCAGGAAAGCGCCTTCACTTGCAATACCTTCTTCCTCCAAACCGCGGGAGCCCTCAGCAAAGTCAAGTCGTCGGGCTACGGCTACCGCTTCAGTGTCCCGCCCGCTTACCACGGCCAAGACGTCGCTTATACGTACTACAACCCCTCGACGGCTGGCCCGAGTGTGAACGCCACCATCGCCCTATTCATGCAGCGGGTCTTGACCCGGTTCGCCCTGACTGGGAACCCAAATCGCGAGAACGATGCCGCGGGGGCCACTACCATGCCTGCATATTTCTCTCACCAGATGACATCGGAGGCGGGTCACATCCTCGACCTGAATGTGACAGGCTTGAACGTGATTACTGATCCCAACGACAACGACCGCTGTCGCTGGTGGCAGAAATCGCTGTACTACTGAGTCCGAGCAAGTATCTCTTGGGTAGGTGCAGCAGAGGGTATGGGAGATGATATTGTGGAACTAGTTAAGCCTCTGCATGGAGTGCTCACATGGTACTCTGCGGCGGACTGACTGAGCGATTAAAAGATCGAGTGTTAGCTGCACACAAGGGAGCAGTGGTGGTGGCTGTGGTGGATTTCACTTTCTATAGCGGTTTGTCTAGCGACAAGGTATCACAAACCCCCTACACCACCACGTCTTCATCTAGAGGGCGAAACTGTTGCTCGTCGATTTTATTTTCTTTGTGTGTACGTCCCGAGGGCCGGACACACTCTCATAGCACAGGCATGAAGCATGATATATCAGGTAGTCAATTAGTCAGACTATACACCAATCATTCAGTTAATGTTTTGCATTGTCAACTTCAAGCGGACGAACAAGGCTATAATGGTATCTCTGAGCTGCAAAAGCAGGTGAATACGAAAAAACAACTCGCCCTCCCACCACCGAAATTGCCCCATCATGATACACCTTACACCGTCGCTACCTCATCAATGCTTGCCCTCGGTGAACCACGCGGTGGCTCTGTCGACAATGGCCTTGCCGCCAGACTCGATAACGTCTCCGTGACAGGGAATGACTCGGTCGTAATCCCACTGCTTGATTCTCTTGGCCGACTCGGCAAAGCCCTTCCTATCCTTGCCGGCGGCGGCGTACCAGAGAAAGCGCTTCTGCCAGGTCATCTCGCCCTTGGTGTTCATTATGCCTGCAAAGAGCTTCGTCAAGATTCCGGATCCCGCGGCAACTCCGGCCTTGGAATATTGTTCGGTGGCCGGCAGGTTGAAGAGCAGATCGGCCTCGATCATGGTCCTGCTGGGCTTGTGGAGAAAGACCAGCTCCTTGTTGGTGTGGGAGTCAAAGTATTCGTAGGAGAACTCGGTGTCGAATTCGGGAGTGATGTGCATGTCAAGCTTGTTCTTTGCCGAGAAAACGTGTGCAAATTTTGTGCCTTTGGTGGCCGGATCGCCCTCTCTCTTCTCTGGCAGCCCTTCCATCCCGATCACTTCCGCTTCGGGGTATTCTTTGGCCCATGTAGAGATGAAGATGTGATGCTCGATGTCCGGCGCGACGATGTATTTGATAGGACCCATTGACGTGACTTTGGCCTTGACGTCCGGGGTGAGCGCAACGGGTGAAAAGACGGCCACGTTGCCCGTCTGTAGCTTGACCAAAGTACCCCGGCCGCCAATCTTGATATGCCCAAACCGCAGGAAAGGTACACTGAGGGTCGTGATATTAGGAGTGACATCTCTTATGACCATGACCTTCGCAGGGTCACGCGGTATCAAGGAGGAGGCGGATTTGGCGGTAGACATTGTAAAGGTAGGAAGTGGTGTTGTGTTAGAGAGGTATTCGACCTGTTTGTGAGGTTATCGAACTGCAGGATCGCAATGCAGAGGAAGAAGTAGATCGAAGGTGCAGGGGAAGTCTCATGATATACTTTTCGCACAGAGTCCTCGTATACCAGGTCTCGAGTTTTCCACTCAATGGTTTTTTCTCATCGTTGTGCCTTGCATTACCAAGTCATTATTCGGTTGACTTCTGCCCCGGTCCGCATGGTTCAAAGAATGCGAACAGCTAGAGAGCAGAACGTCATGCATTGAGTGGACACCGCGCCACCACGGCCGTTGTTTTTTAAGCATAGACGATGCCAATTATGGAAGGGCTCCAGGGATGCCTCGGCCTGTGGTTTGCAGAAACTGTCATCCATCGGGTAGCGCCTATGGAGAAGCGAGACTTTCACCTGGTTACTCATCAAAATGGCATCCAGCCACCGCGCTCGGGGTGGTGAAGTGATTGTGAGCTCCAGTGAACCTTAGTCAGCCCAGCCCAGCCCGTCTTGTCAACCATCCCTCTCTTGTATAGTGCCCGGAGCCAAAGCCCAAATAATTAGAGGCCATGCATGTGTTGCTATTTGGAATGCCGCACTGGAGTGCGAGCCTGCCACCCTGCGCGCCTAGCTGGCCATCCGTGCTCGGCCGTAATATTAGGTATTTGGAAACCAACAAACGAGTACGCTGAGCCGAAATTACCGCAACCGCATACGACTGTCTCTTCAGGTATCTTTCTCGGCGTTCGTGAGGTAGGTGACGGTGCGGACGAGCAGCCCGTGGTTCTGCGGGTTTTTATGGATGTAGGCAATGGGAGGGTTGATAAAATACACGATATTTATCTAGCGCTAGTATGGTACTAGTAGACACCTGAGATAGGTACATAGGGCAGGTACCTGAGGTAGGTACTGGTAGGCACCTAAGGATAGGCACCTTTAGGAGGACTTGGAGACTCACTCAAATTCACTAGCTAAAGACGGGAAGACTTGAAATTTGAATGGAAGTGTTTTGATTCCCCATGCAGGGTGTCTGGCATTTTTATTTCCTCAATCAATCGTTTGAAGGCTCTTCATGCCTATTATCTACAACAACCTGTTCAACGCCAATTTCAAGCTGTCTTCCAAGAGCCCACTACCTCCACAGACATTGCTTGTCCCTTTGGCGAACATGCGCCTTATCTCGTCGTTCCGCATATCATTTTCTTCGTCATTTACAGCTCGACTATCGAGCAGCACATAGGCAGGTTCGTGATCCGATCCTCCAATGTGCTCGGCATTGTCGCTGGTATCGGGAATGTTTGCAGACAGAGAATGAACCAGCTTCTTTGTCTCCCTCCTCGGACTCTGAAGGCCACCAGGAGTAATAAGCAGGAGCTCTGGGTCATCACCCGAGGATGGATTCAACGGTGTCCATGTCTTCCTTGTATCGGAAGAGGCCAATGCAGCGTCCAGCGCCTGGCTATTGAGAACCATTCCAGGCGAGCGCAAGAACAGTGCTTGATCGTACTCCCATCGACCCCACTGCAATTCCCCAAGTAGTTGTGATCGAACGTCCCATGCGTCGTATATCCTTACGGGGTGGTAGATGAGGCTGTACAGTTCCTGAACGTCGCGCATGAAGCTCAAAGTTGATGTATAGAGGGGTGAGGATTCGGTCTCCCAGGTGGATGGATAGAGGAGTATGATGGATGGTTCTTTGGACAGCCGTGAAGATGACCGTTCCTGTTTCGCAAAAAGGAGTGCCGAGCACAAGTGGTGTGGCTCGAGGAGGGCAAACATGTATGCAAGACGCTGGAGTGGTGTTTCATCTCTTGAAGCCGACTTGAACAGCTCCGGAGAGGAATCCAACGTTGCTTCATTCGGGTCCTGGTTGATTACTGGCACCTGAACAGTGTCCGAGTTCTGATCAGCCCCGACGATAACGACAGATTGCAAGCCATCTTCGGGGCTTTCCAACACTCTCGGAACGCTATCGTTTTCTTCATGTCGAAACTGTGGAGGCAGAGTTGGCACAGGTCTTCGTTCGGGTGGTCGTCGAATGGCTTCTTGTATGGAGCGCACAGATTGTTGTTGTAATACATATCCCGATAGAAACAGGAGGAATGTGAACGTGCAGACAACCCCGCTAGAGATGATGACCGAGACGGTCGAGGATGTTAGGAGGACCATTGCCCTGCAGGGCTCCAATTGACCCAAGAAACAAGTATGTTCATGCAGCTGATTGGAACCGTGATGGTGGTACGAAGACGATTCTTGGTCGGGGCCTAATTTAATATATGTTTGTGAGTACTGGCTTTGACCTCTTCTTCTGAGATGGCTTCGAATGAGTCCGGTCATAAGTAAGAGAGTCATCGTCCAGCCGGTTACGCAGGCAATGTTTACAGCCTCGTCGCGAGGAGCAACTGATTTCTTGGCAAACCAATGGTGGAGCTCACGAGGCTGACAGTGGCGACGCCGCTTTTAGGTTCAGTCAACTGGGTCAACTGGTTTGCGGCTCTGCGCATTGTGAGCCACACTCACTCACCTTCTCCCGCAACTGTTCAATTGTGCTCCTCGACCCTTGCGTTTACCTTCGCAGTTACATCGCTGGTTCCATGTGCTCAGCTTGCTCGCGTACATTCTCAAGGCCTCCCTTCCTCTAGTTAGGGCCCCCAGGTCTAAACTTGTCGATCGGCAGATCTGGCCCGTTCCGCACTCTCCCCTCGTCGATTGAATGTCTAGTTTCTCCCCAGCCCGTCCTTCGCTGGAAACAAAAGTACGAGGTACAAGCACTGCGGTCAACCTTGCAGGCACTTGCCTACCACAAGAAGATGGCAATGGTACAGCCGCACCTGCATGCAGCGTTTCCCCGGGCTCCTATGACATGCTGCTGTGTGGGTGACATGAATGCGCCCTGCCTCAGAAATATCCCTGCAAATAGACCCTGGTATGCCCCAACATTCGCACGGCACACTGAAGCGAGCAGGGTTCAGACCTGCACATGCCTAGACTGCTGAGGCTTTACGTCCATCTCGCTACGACTAGTGTGTCTGCATGTCTGGGTCGACTGCCTTCCGGTCGCCTTTTCCTGAGCAATGAGAGGTCAGCCTCATTCAGAGGACGGCTGGACTCGGCCGTGGCTGCAACTAGCCGACCACGGTGCATGGCACTATTGGTTGAAAATGTAATGGTATCCTTCAGCCCGTATTCAGAGTGAGGCTGAAGCCTGACTTTGTAATAGCCCCCCCTCCCTCCCTCCCTTCCCCTCGCCTTGTGAACAAGGGTATATCTTTCTGTATCCCTCATTCTCAGAGACCTTCCTCCTCTCTAGCAAGTCCTTGAGGTCAAGCCTGGAAACCAGACTCGACTCTTCATTGCGTTGACCATGGCTAACGGCGATGCTTGTGCCGACTGTGAGCGGCCTAATGTCCGTGTCTGGCTCTGTTCAGCCTGCTCGGGCATCTCGTTCTGTGACGACTGCTGGCCAAAACAGGCTGCCCACAAGGCTAAAACCACGAATCTCGGTAACCGCGCGCATACGAAAGAAGATAGGGCCACGATATTGATGATACGCTCAATTCTGGAACCACCAATGGATCCTCAAGAGATTAGGACCCTACACGACAAAGATCAAGACTCAAGATGGTTCGGCGTCGTCAAATCTTCGGACGGTAGGAAATCAGAGTTTTATGACTTTGGCCGATACGGTCAAATGATGCTGGACAGTCGGCCACTCGGCGGGGCGGCCAGATACCCTAAACTTGTCTCCTTCATCGGGGACACCTGTAGGTCATCTCAATATACGCTATCGAGAGCTCTCTGACGTTGGCAAGACGCTGGCAAAAGCACAATTGTGAAAGCCCTGGTATCTCATGGCGGCTTGGTATCTACCGAAGCCGACCGCACTTCCTTCCACACCCCAGTGCCGGGCTCCAGAGCCAATGAAGGGACTGCCACGTCGGAAGGCGTGCACTTGTACGCAGATCCGGAGCATCTCGAGGTCGCAATGCCGATCCTCTACGCTGACTGTGAGGGACTAAACGCGGGTGAAAAGGTACCTTTTGCCGTGGAAGACTCCTCACATTCCAAAAGGGCAACAAAAGAGTCAGGAGGGCAAAGGAAAGTGAGAAAGAAAATGCCTGCGAGGTCTGTCCCCATTGAATGGACAAAGGCAAACGATCCAGTCAAGGGCACTCGAGAATATGCTGTCACCAATCTTTACCCCAGGTTTCTCTATACCTTTTCTGATGCTATTGTTTTCGTCCAGAGAAATCCAAAGTAAGTATGTTCTCCGCCGAGGGGACTGCCTACTGACGGGCGGCAAGCCAACTTCACATCACTTACAAGTACCTTGTCGACTGGGCAAAGCGCAGCGTCGAAAAATCCCTGAATCAACCCATCCTACCCAGCGCGATAGTCGTGCTTAACGCTGTTGAGGTTGCTGGTAAGGACGAGAGATGGACGATCGAGGACGCGACGAAGAGCTTCTTCCGAGATGTTGAAGGCATCACGACCACCGAACATGACCTGAGAGAGCTCGCGAGGAACTTCGCTCCCGAAGGGGATTACCGCAGCTTGTCTGCGCGCGAGTTGCTTGAATGCTACTATCGATCTGTTCGCGTGATTCGCATTCCCGCGAAGAGCTCCGAGACGTACAACTTGATCAACAACCAGATCTTGCAGCTCCGAGAGGAAATCGTCAGCGTCTGTCAGACCGCTCACTACGAGAAAAGCATCAAACGCCGGCTGGCCAACGCCGATGACTTGCAGCAATACCTACAGGCGGGTTTCGAGCACTTTGCCAATGACATTGAACGACCATTTGACTTCAGAATGGTTTCTACTCGTAATAAACTCATTGCCCACGACTTCGGCGATCACATTTTGACGTTGGCAAGAACGATACACGAGAGTACTCGTCACGAGCTTCTCCAACCGAAAATGCTCCTCGGTGGCTTATGTTCGCTGATAGCATCGTGCATTCTGTTGGACTACGTCCGGAATAACTTGCAGGGTAAGTAAGTGCTGCTGTTCGGCGTGGCGAAATGTCTCAATAACAGCTTCGCAGGGCCTGTGCTTGATTACTTCCCGAAAGACTACGCTCCTTTCTGCCGGACAGCCTTGCATATGTTTTGCAACGATATAATGCCTTGTGAATATACAAGTAAGAGAATTCCGCACTGCTGCAATGTCAAGTCCGCCCACGACAAGGGCCACCAGAACGAGAAGGGTAAGAGAGAAATCGGACCATACAAATCTTCTCTTATGGCTTCTTCATACGAAAAGGTCTGGCTGAAGAAGATCGAAGACAATCTGAAGGCGTTGAACAGCACCTTTATACAAGAGCTTCGTTCAAGGTATCCGCTACACAAACAATCGCGAACAGATTTGTCTGGCAACCATGAAGGTCATATCTCGACAGACATGAAATTGGTGTCCAAATTACATGACGAGAAGCTCGCCGAGTTCTTCTCGTCTCAGATCAAGTCTTCCCGGGACTTCATCAGTTGTGTGAGCTGCTTTCGATGTCTGATGGCTACGCCTGAACATGCGTTGGAGTGTGGCCACATCCTCTGTGACTCTTGCATTCGAGAACACGGAGAGGAACAAGATGATCTTATCACTCTAGTCGGAAGCTGTCCTCTACATGGCGGAAAGAGATCCATGAACTGGGAAATCGCCAAAAAGCCCGAGTTCGCTGGCCTGAGGATTCTGTGCTTGGACGGGTAAGTGAAATTCCCGAGACTCTTGTCAGAGGCTGATGTTGGGGACCAAGGGGTGGAATCCGTGGCATCGTGGAACTTGAGATTCTGGCTGCCATTGAGAATTGTATCAACAACTACCACTCAACGCCAGGGATTCAAATTCAGCAACTGTTCGATCTGATTGTGGGAACGAGGTGAGTGAGCCGGCGCCCATTCGGGTACGAATTCTGACGCGCCTAGCACCGGTGGTATTGTCGCTCTCGGCCTCGTCGCCGCCCAATGGTCTGTTTCTGAATGCACGCGCAGATTCAGGTCTCTTTGCAAAACAGCATTCTCCGAGCGGGAATTCGCAGACACGATCTTTGAGAAACTGGCGACCTTGAACCACGGAAGCAAATACAGGACGACCCCATTGCACAGAGTTTTGCAAGAGTCCTTCGGTGACGACCTTCTCTTCGGGGGCAAGAGTAATGCTGCGAGATACTCCACGAAGGTGGCTGTGGTATCTACGTCGGGCACCGGGAACCGAGCCTTGATCATGGCCAACTACAACCGACAGCAAACTTCTGATCCTGGATACACTTTGGAGACGGCTCGGACCCCGAGTGAAGCGTTTCATGTCTGGGAAGCTGCCGCGGCTACCTCAGCAGCTCCGTCCTACTTCAAACCTTTTGTGAGGCGAGGAAGGACATACCTTGATGGGGCCATCAATCACAACAACCCCGTGATTGTCGCAAAAAGAGAGCGACGGTTGCTATGGCCAGATGTCGAATCGCGCCACCCGGATATCTTTCTCTCCCTTGGTACGGGTCAAAATGCCGCTGAGATGAGCCGAAGATTAGAAAAGTTGTCTGGCCATTCGAGAGAGGACCATTTGAGGAGAAAGCAGCAGACTGAAGGACCGCGGGATTCTCGAAAGCGCTATCGGGCCATGAAAGGCATCAAAAACTACTTCAGCGTTCTTGTAAGTGGCATTTCACCATTCTTCTTCGGCGATGAATACCTCTTCTGACCTTGATTCTCTAGGTTGATAAGATCGACAATATCCTCGACACCGAATGGTCCTGGCACGAGTTCTACCGCGACACGGTGGGCGAGCAGTGGGCAACAGAATTCGCGTCCCATTATTTCCGCATCAACCCTGACCTCAGACAAAAGCCACCGCCGCTAGATGCAAAGCATGACGTGGATCACCTTCGAGGGATGGTAAACAAGCTGCTCAGACAGCCTCCGTTGTCCCGCGAGGTTATTGAAATTGCAAACTCTCTCGTTGCCAGCACCTTTTACTTCAAGAAAGACGAGTCTCATGTCTTTGGCGACAAGCAAAATCGCGCTTTTGTTTGCACAGGTGAGTGTCAATGAGGCGGGAAGGATGTAGCTAACAAGTTCCAAAGGTCATATTCGCTGCAAGCTCGCTCACCAGGACCAGAGCATCAAAACTCTGGCTGAATTTCTGCAAAACCACATCATCGGGAACTTTGTTCCCAGCTTTATTGCGAAGAGGCGTTTAACCTCGTCGGAAGAATTCACGGTACGCAGTTGCTTTCTCCGGCTTGGAGGGTCTATCTTCCGCAATGACGGGAAGCTGATAATGTACAGATCTTCGACCTCGACAAAAAGTTCCTTGACGACATGTACACTCGCAAAGTGTTTAAAGGGACTTACCATGCGGAGATCGAGCTCCGAGACCGTGAAGAATCGGTATACATCCTTCTCCGGCTGAGACAACCCAACTCGAAGCCAAACAAAGTCCACACATGTGATTATCCGATCAGCGGCTTCCCTCGCAAGTTCATTGTGGAGAATGAGAGAAATGGTAAGCAATACCCTCGCAATCTTTGCTCTCGATTCCGGGTTGGACTGACAGACCTCCAGCGTCGAGACTTCAGAAGCGAGTGCAGGAGCTGGCAAGACGTCGTGAAGCTGCGAGCGAGGCGGCCGCTTCTTTGCCACTGTCACCAACCATCCAACCCGTTGCCTCGAGATCGTCATACAACATTACTCGCGTGTCGACTACAGAGAGCCTGACGGATTCGGATACGGAGCAGGACGACGGACTCTTGTCAGAGCAAGTGTTGAAAGAGTATGAGGCGTGGTCTATACGAGACTGATTTGTCTGCTTGGTGGGGATTTTGGGTAACGAGATGATAGCAAAAGGCGTAATTGACGGCAGATCAGAGGGCAATGTAGAAAAACTTAATTCTCAACGATACCTGTTGGTTTCTCCGTTTTCCTCGTCTCTATCTATACCTGAAAGCGCATCCTCTTCCAGACAGCCAGAGTCGTGCAGAGTGCATCGCTGAGGGGCACAGCGCGGCATCACGCTAATCCAAAAGCGGATTACTGGCCCGGGGACGTTGATGCGGCTTTGCAAATCCCCGAACTTTTTTGGCTGTATCTACTTGTAGCCACACGACTCTTCCACGAGGTCTGGTTTGTCTGGCAAGCGATAGACTCTTCTCTCACTCCTAGACGGCTACCATGACGCACCGTGCCGATGCCTCCAACACGCTCGATAACCGCGGCTACAGCGGTCCTCTGGTGCGCGGCCAGAATCCTGCCCTCCTCCTAGAAACGGCCATGCGCGACCGCATCACCGATTCGCTCTACTGGAAAGAACAATGTTTCGGACTCAACGCCGCGACTCTGTGCGACCGAGCCGTCGAACTCTCCTACATCGGCGGCACCTATGGGGTAGCCATGAAACCTACGCCTTTCATCTGCCTCGCATTCAAGCTCCTGACCCTCGTGCCCGACCGGGAGATCGTGCTCGAATATCTGCAAAACGGAGGCGAGGAGTGGAAGTACCTGAGGGCGCTGGCGGCGTTCTACGTCCGGTTGACCTTTGAGCCGGCCGACGTGTACAAAACCCTGGAGCCGTATCTGGAGGACTCGAGAAAACTGAGGCAGCGGAGGAAGGAGTCTTATGTGTTGATCCACATGGACGAGTTTGTGGACAATCTGCTCACAAAGGACCGAGTCTGCGGGACGAGTCTGTGGAAGTTGCCGGCCAGGCAGTTGTTGGAGGATCTGGAGCAGTTGGACGAGAGGGTGAGTCCGCTGCAGGCGGAGCTGGATGCTATGGAGGAAGAAGAGGAGGAGGAAAATGGCGAGAGACGAGATGGGGACAGCGACATGGAACGTGCTGCGGGGAATGGGACGGCGTCCGAGAATGGGCAGAGTCCCAGGTCAAGAAGCAGGAGTCGAAGCAGGAGCAGCAGTCGGGGTCGTTCGATCAGTGATTGAAGCAACAAGTACACACTACACGGGCTACACGGGCCATCAAGCCTGAGATTGCTGACTAGAACCTCAAACGACGATATACTCGTCCTCGCCCGCGGATGGCGATTCGATGCCCTCGTTGTCACCGACGCCCTGTCCTGCATCTTCCGTCCCGAAAGGCGCAATCAGCGACGCCTGGGATCTGATGAGATCGATCAGAGAGGTGCTGTCATCATGGCGTTCCCATGTTGGATGTCTGACTTGTCTCTCAGGCGCCTCTAATTCCCTCGAAAACGGTTCCTCTTGGATCGGGGCTTGACCCGCATCCTGACCGTCATCCTCGTCGATGCGCATTTCGACCAAATCCTCCTCTGGTTGGGCAAGCGGTTGAGTTTCGCCATGAGCAGTGACCTCAGGAGCTACATCTTCGTGCTCCTCAACTGCTTCATTATCCCACTGCGGTGCCTCAGCCGGTTCCGGGTTGCTCTCAGTCGCCAAGTTGGCAGCATCAGAGCCGACAGATTTATCGTCCTCGGCGTCACTGCCGCTTTCGAAGGATTGCTCGGATGCGTTGTCGTCGTGCGCAGGCGAGTCACCCTGCGGATCCCAAATTTCCTTGCCCACTTCACGACTCACGAGGTGTTGTTCCCTCCATATCTCCCGCCTCACATACCTCTTCCATTCAGGAGCATCACATGGCGCGTCGAGTAGTTGGGGCATGCTCGGGCCGCCGATGTTTGTATTTACAACATTGAGCAATGTTATGGACAAGCCGGCGCTTTGCATGTCTTTCTGGCTAAAAGGAGCATCGGATGCCGTTTGCGTCCGGGGTGTCAACGGGCTGGCATAGCCGTACACACGTACGGGCCAAATGTTCCACTGATGTTGCAGCTCCTGGACAGTTGCATCAATTACATCGTTGACCCGGTCTGTGTCTTTCGGCAGGGGAGGGTGGTCGAAATTGACGAGCAAGACGGGCTCATTGGAGTTTACGTGCACGTTTCGTGAACGCGAGACGGTAGGGTCCAGGAGCGCTTTGAGCATCGAGGCGACCGTCTTTTGGGGGATGTCCTTTGCTGTCCCCGACTGTATCTCGACGTGCGATGAGTTGCCGGTGATCAAGTTTTTAGCCACCAGGTCACCGACGCCACGGACATCGTCGTCACCATAGCCACCCCATTTTGACAGGGCGTCGCATATCTTGGCCACGAGGAGGATTCCCGCACCGGTGGTCTTTGACGTGTTTTTGTAGTCAGGCGCCGAATCCTCTTCGCTCGCGAAAATCACATCGTCAACCGTGACCCCGATGGATCCCGGTAGGTCGAGCATGCTTTCTTGAGCTTGAGCTTGCGCGTTGGGGATGGCCATTGTCTTGTCTCTTGGGTGTGCGCTTTATCGCTTGGGTGCAAAGGGGTGGATCGGTGACCCTGCCTGATTTGTAGTATAGTAATATAAAGTCGAAGTGGGTGCGTTTGCTTGTCGCTGCTGGTCAAAATATGACTGGAATAGCGAGAATTGAGAAAGGGTCCAAACCGGCCGAGACTGGGATTGTAGCAAGCGGCAGGAGCAAGAGCAAAGGTCTTTTGATTTATACCTCTGTGTATATGTGTGGTGTGGTGTGTGTCGCGGAGAACGTAGTGATCGAGAAGAAGAAGAAGAAGAACAGGACGACAAGATAAGACAAAGACCAATATCTCTCCTCCTGTACCGAGTTACTTGTGCTCTACTTGCTGCGATGTACTGTACATGTCCACCCGCAAAGAAAATATTATCACATGCTCAATTTCTCCTCTCGCTGTGATATCGACGGCACCAATCAATTGGGAGGAAAATCGCTGACGTTTTTTTCGATCGTCGCTCTTTTGTCACTTCCGTCCTTGGGACCACAGGGCCCCGTCACTACCGCCTGGAATCAAGGCTCGAGCATTTTTGCCTTGCAGATCAGATCAGATCAGAGTGCCTGATGGCATGGCGAAGTAGATGTCTGGCGATAGGGTCCGGAGGGGAGAGCCGTCCGTCCGTCCATCCACATCGCTGCGGATTTCGAAATTCGTTATTATTATGTGTATGTTTTAATTTAGGGACTTGTAGCTTGCCATCGCTGGGCTAGGTGGCGGATAATCTTTCCTCTGCGGATCGAGTATGTACTCAATGATCAAGGCGTGCACAGAAAGAAATAGGAAGAGAACCTCTGTTCGCATCGCAATGCGGATTATATATATATATGTATGTCTTTGGTTATGCTATGCTATGCCATGCTACCGGCTGAGGTGAGAGAAATTGAGGAAAAAATGATCGGTGATGAATGCCCAAAAAAAAAGCCCTCCCTTAAGTCTCTTGTCATTCCTTGGATTGACGAGTTAGTTCCAGCTTAAACTTTTTTTTTTTTTTTTAATTTGTATGTGGTTTGTTTTGTATCTTCTTTGGTGGAGGTGGAGCGGCGTCGTGAAATGGTAGAATATACCCAGTAAGCCAGTCGAGTACCTTCAGATTGGATCACGGTGGGGGAATGGTAACTAGGCACTTGGGGCGTTGTGCATTCCTGGCTGGCATTCCTTCTGGCCATTGCTATATATCTCTTCTTCATCCTTTTCTCTCCTCTTTCTTCTCCTTTTGTCATTTTGCTGGTGGTGGTGGTGGTGAGTACTCTTTTCTAATCTCCATAAACAACGCACACCTCTCCTTTGTACATAGTTTTCACTCGAAAAACCACCCCCTCGCGGTTTGCAGCGGCCGTGCCAGTCTTGTCTGTCTGTCTGTCTGTCTGGCTCGTCTGCCTAGTTCGACACCTCGACATCCCCAAACCCCTGCTGTCTGACCCACTTGTCCTTCCAGCCGGGAAACCACGGACTCTCGTCCAACGTGTGGTGCTGCCAGTCCTTCTCCACGAGACCCCGCTGGATCTGCTCGCGCTCGTACTCCTCCAGCGCGGGGACCACGACGTGCTCGACGTGCCACGTGTTCTTGTACTTCATCAGGTTCTCCTTGCCGTCCCGCAAAACCTTGAGCACCAGGCTGGGGATGTACGGCTCGTCGCGGAACTCGGTCACCGGAGTAAACAGCGCTTTGAAGTTGAACACGATCCCGCCCGACAGGGGCAGGCGGCGCAGCGTCTGCCAGTCGACCCGCAGGTGGATCCGCGATAGGTCTAGGTCCGGAGACTGGAAGTCGCGGTACTTTTCGTGCGGGTCGCCGGGCGGCATGTACAGCGGCTGGTCGACTTCGAGACCCCACGAGCCACGCTGGATGGGTCTGGGCGAGGGCATCTTGGTGAAGAATCTATGGGGGACAGGAGTTAGATGTCGCACTTTTGGTAGCTCGTTATAGTGACCAGGAGGGTGGCAGCCTTACCGATCCATGCTGAATTGCATCTTCTCCTTGTAGTCCGGAATCGGGGCGTGGATCTGGGCCAACTGCATCCCGATCTTGGTCCCGACGTTCCAGCCCAGCGCCGAGCAGATCATCCCCGCCCGGAAGTGGTAATACCCGGTCTCCGGGTTTCGCAGCGTGATGGCAAAGTCTTCGGGGACGTTGTCCAACAGGACCAGCAGAGGGTGCTTGGCCGACACGTCCTGTGTCGTGCCCAGGATCTTGTTCTCGAACGTCTTCTTGTCAGAGTGCAGGCGGAAGTACTGCGGGTAGCGAGCGCAGAGGAACTGGAGCGCCATCTCCATGAGTTCTTTGCACGCCAGTTCCGACCCAGGCAGCCACTGGAGCACAGCCTCGCCGTGTTCGGCGTAGAGCTTCTTGCGCTGGGCGATGCGTGCCACGTACGTGTTTTCCAGTTCTAACCACCAGTCGGGCTCTAGCTTGGTGAGGGCTGTGCAGCGGGCTGTTAGTTAGAAGTACAACCACTAAGGACAAAGGTACTGACACATGGTTTGATGATATGCCCATCTGAAGGGTCGGTAGGGTCGTGGGAGGGCTTTGTTGATGTCGTGTTCACGGTATGGCTTTGGAAGCGGGACGCCACTGAGGGCAGCATAGTCGGGGAAATCTCCCAGAGCCCGAATCTCTTCAATCTTGTAGCCAGTGAAGACGTATTTGTCTGCATCGGCCTTGCGAAAATCCTCGTCGAATCCCAGAACGGCTTTCATCCAGTTCTTCTCGTCGAATGTCGAGTTGAGCAGGGCCACGCGGCGGTCTTCGGGGAGCGAGGCAGCGGCTGCCGGAATGTTCTCTCTGGTCAGGGGCGGGAATGTGTTGACATACTCGGAAGCCTTGGGTGGTGAGTTGTTGGGCACCTTCTTCTCCGGCGAGAGGGAACGAGGCGGCGTGTCTGCACTGGAGATACGACGACCCCGTAACCTCAGCCTTCTGAAGACGACTTCTTTCTGACGTTGACTCAGACTCAGATAGGTAATGACACCGAGGCACACAGCGAGACCCAGGTAGAGCAGGGTTCGCTCGTCCTTGAATGACGCCATGGCTGGTGAGCTGGTAAAGGAAAATGCAAGGCCGAACGGAGGGGTGGAATATATGTACAACCGGGCTGAGTCAAAAGATCGAGCCTTGACAGACAAAGGCTGGGTGTGAAATAGTCTCAAAGTCTCGGAGAGGGTGCAAGTCACAATCACCAACAATAGCCCAAGTGGCGTAGGTCACGGGAAGCGCACAGAAGCCAAGTGCCGCTTGTCGACAATCAATGCCAGGAACAATGAAATGGCGCTGGTATAAATATCGACCGCGAATCTCGAGGATCTCCCGAACAGGACAAAATGCCAGCAAAACCAAAGATAATGGGTCAAGTCACACCACCGAGGCTAAGCAACACTCAGGATAGCGGTAAGACACGACCCAACCGTAGAACAAAGGCGTAGGAAGGTCAGGCCAAAAGGTACGAAAGATTGAGCTTGCAGCAAAGGATGTGAAATGGGAGGGGAATTAGAAATGGGGATTTGATGATGTTGTCTGCTGCAGGGAGAAGTGAGCTCAAAAGGGTGTAGAGCAAGCAGGGATCGCGACGGGCAGTGGCCAATTGGGGACTCCACTGCTCATCGGAAAGGTGTATAGAGCTATTATCAGCCCAGACATCTCAACAAGGTAGAATGGCTTGACAGGTACCGGGGGGGGGGGCCTATGCCCGGCCAGGGTGATTGCAGTGGTTCGTGGCAGGTTATCAAGCAACAAGCTCTGCCTCGATTGATGCCGGGAGCCCGAAAGTCGAATAAGACGGATCGGCAGAAGGAAGCCAGATCCAGAGGCGACTTGACTGGCCATCGAGGGATTCAGCGAGAGACGATGCTGGCACGGCTGGTCGTCGGAATGCAAAGGCCAGCGGTTGGCTGCACGGACAGCCTTGCCAAAAGAGGTTTAGCTTGATATTGATACGGCGATAAGGAAGGTGACCCACCTGCCGGGTATGATTGGTGGATGCCTGACCCCGCGATCCCCACTTTCGCCTTCCTTCGATTGTTCCTCTTTCGGGCAAATCTTTCCCGGCCTCAACCTCTGAAGCTCTCTGTGCCCTGATAGTCCTGGGAGCCGGGAGCCAGGGACAACCTCGCTGGATAAGAGAAGACAAAATGGTCGCGACAGCAGCGCTCACCGTGCGAGCCAGTTGAGGTCCAGGGTGCAACACATATCTGTCCAGGGGGGACGACAACAGCCAACCACTCTTGTATCTGATCCCCTTGTGCGACGTCGGCTTGCTTCGCCTCTAGCATCAGGCTGGTCGAGTTCTCGAAGCAATGATCGAAACGGCCATGCTGTAGCACAATGACCTGTGGAACAATCCTCCTAATAGCCGCGCGACCACCCAGATCTGTCCACACGTGGTCACAACTCCTCGGGTGCTTGCCAATTTTCTTCCGGCCTGCTGATCGTGCGAGGTCCTTCTGTTACGAGGCCACATTATGATGAGGAGAGGATCCCGAGAAGACCCAATGACATGGACAAAGGGACGCGGTTTGTTGAGACACAGACTTCGTTCCCCAGCGACGACTGCGCATCCTCGCTTGGAGCCGGCGCTCAAACTTGCTGGCTCAACCCAGGTGTAGGACAACTTTCTTCGCTTTGTACCCAGCCATCTGGTTCGGCCGTTCTTGCTGGTGGTTGCCGTCATCTTCTCCTGGAATAATCTGAATTTTAGCCTCGCAAGGCGTCTACCCGGTCTTAAAACGCAGGGCTGTCTTCAGTCTCAACTCCCGACCCAAGGGACATATCCATCGGCCTATCATGCGCGTGACGCCGAGTTGATCGACCGTGCTTCCTTGTAGACCTATCCGCCCAGAGAGTTCAACCTCCAACCCCTTTGTACCGGTCGCCACTCGTGACTTACATGGGAAGGAATTCAGGACCATCTGGATTCTGATATGAAGTGACATACGCTCTTGTTACCTTCCAGTGTGACAAGTAACCACAGTAGT